CCGCTTCCTCAACACGGACCGCTTCAAGAACGTGAGGGTGAAAAGAGAGAATATGAAGGCCATGATGGGCTCCCCACCCCCACAGGAGGGACAGTAGTTGGTTTCGATATGAGGACACACACATAGGTAGCAGTGTCGATATGCAGGCCTGGGGCTGGGTTCCTTGCGTTTAAGGTGTTCGGATAAGGGTTAACGAGTTCACACTTTCCCCCTCCCTTTTGTACCGATTATTCTCATACGCGAAGTACAATTTGAGCCGAAGATTACTGAGCTGGGTGACGCAGGGCGTTGGATGTGATTGTGCAGTCCATCGAGAGACCATGACCCCCCCGCTGAGGCGTGCGGCAGGATTAGCACCCATTGAAAATATAAAATATCGTCGTTAAACGTGATCCGGCAAGGGCTGGGAGTGAGTGTTCTCCAACGTGTAGGTAGTATACGCATGCCAGGGAATTGGATGGTCGACTTTGTGGCCAGTTTTCTCCGGACTTCCTATATTGCCGCCCGGATAATTATAGAGAATCGAAACTGAAACAACGCTCCCACATGAGCGGGGCTAGCAAAGAGGAATTCGATGGTTTGAGCTGTTTGGGCCTCTCCCTGCCTTCCTGCTGGGAGACCTGAAGCTAGAGAGGCGACAACCTGTAATAAATTTTGTAGATACGCGTTTTTAACTGCACTGGAACGGAAGAGCCTGGAAGCAGTGTACCGGGCATCTGAATGGGTGTTGCCGGAAACGCGTCATTCGGCTCGACGTTCGGCAGCCACCTCACGAGTGAGGCACAGACCAACAATATCTGGGTGGAGTGTTCAGGGAAGAATGAGCACGGAAAGGATTCCGCGCGGGAGAAGAGGAAGAAGTGGTGATCGTGGTGTAGCGGTGGATTGGAACATAGCTAGCCTACAGACTGGCCGCTGCTCGCATTCTCCCGAAGTCACAGCCATACTCGCCGCCTACCCGTGAAACGAAACACAGTAGGCGGCGGACAAGGCGCCCAGAGCCCCGGGTCTTGTCGTGGTGTCTGAGGGAAGTGGTTGATCGTGCATACAAACCGCGTTTGGTCGTGGTCGG